GTATTTTAGTTTTGATACTCTTCATTGGTTGTCATACAGCTCTTCATGTGTTCATGTATTTATGTATCATTGGCTTTTAAATGTTTTGGTTTGAGCGTTCCTGTTGAAGATAAATCCAAAAAAGCGATTCGGATGCACGATATTTATACAATATTATTTTAATTTAGTATCTTCAACGAATTGGTTGATGGATATAAGATATCTGTATCTAAGCTCACTAGCGACATGTGTTCCGGTCCTCGATTGGAAAAATAGTCGTCTGCTCTGTTAATTGTCCGAGTGTAACACTTTAGAGTGTGGATTCGGAATTCGGGTAATACAAGCATAGCAAGAGACGCGTACCTGTTCGAATCCTTCATTTTTTTATTCCTTGGTTATTATGATCTGTATAGATGCACGAGATATGAACATCGATAAACTACTGATGCATATTATTTACCTTAAGTGGATTTGACAATTTATTGTAGCTCTCATTTGCTCATACAGGTCCTTAAGTATTTAAGTAGGTCTCATTTGTTAATACAGGCCTTTAAGTATTCAAGTAGGTCTCATTTGTTCATACACGTCTTTAAGTTTTCAAGTAGGTTTCATTTGTTCATACGGTCTAATTTGTTCATACAGGCCTTTAAGTATTCAAGTAGGTCTCATTTGTTCATACACGACTTTAAGTTTTCAAGTAGGTCTCATTTGTTCCTACAGGTCTTTATAGGTGAGTGACATTTCTCAAAAAAACGCTTAGTTAATGCACCATCCTAACATACGGCTATGTTATATATCATTCGAAAGCTTATTATCTGTGCTTTCTGTTTTGTGCGGTCGTCAATAATTCGTACGGTGCAATATTTGTTAAATGAAGGTCAAAGGTCATGAATTGACATTCACAAATTTCACAAGAATTACACAAAATTCCCTTTACTAGTTCTTGCGTGATTTTTTTTTCTTAAACTCATATGGACATAATAGAACATAATACCATAATTCCAAATCAAATGTGCATTAAAATATAATTGTGCAATATTTGCAGAAAAATGCATTTCTGAAAAAGTACTTCAAAAATGATAAAATTGCGCTAAAAGCAAAATGTTTCTTAAGGTATCAATATTTGTATGTCAAATATAAAATAAATGTATCATTTATAGGTGAAGGAATTTTTTTCCGTTATTTTAAACTACAATCAATATCATATTGGTCAGGAATCAGCTTTCTAAGGAAGCTTTTGCAGTTGCCCTAAATACCAACATCTGCAAATAGGAATCATTTTGATTTTCATTGTTCAGATAACACATCGATTGTTGTCATTATCAAAAAAATGGTGATAAAAGTGCTTATGGAATATACAAGGTATATACAGTAAAAATATGTTTTTTCAATGTCCAAAGTGGAAAATATATTAGAAGTTTATTCTCCTTGAATATTCTATATAACTCCTGTTTGCGCGATTTACTATCACAAATCCGGCTTTTTTTGTTATCACATTATTACATACTAGTACTATATTAGTTGTTTTATCAAATATGACAGAACATTGATATTGTTGAAGATTGATTACCCTTCCTGGGCAACTTCATTCACCACCGGTTTAAGGTAGTGTTCGTGCATTTCGGTGTAGTGTTTTGAGGACTGTTGTGTTCCTGTCCTACTTTTATCGCTTTAGTTATGGTGTTATATGTGTGCATTGGAGCAATACTCCTCCTACATCGCTTGGTAAATTTAAGTAAAGTTCGAAGTTTTCAAGTGCAGATACGAAGATTGTACAAGAAGGGATTCTATTCATGATAAACACATTCAAATAGAGTTAAATAGAAAACAAACATAATTCACCATTACAGTACTGCTTTTAAGTTATCTCATTGTAACGGTTGTTCTTCCCACACTTTAACATACCATTTTGTATGGGTTTTTTTTATCAACTAACATCAGACACTAATCGCAGTTATGATATCTTCGCACCATTAGAAAACCAAACGAACAGATTTAAGCCTGCAAAGCATTGGAATGTCAAGGAGTTTACTTATTCCTGTTATTGTTTGGATAAGTTTCAGGGGTTTTCTAAAAAGGTAGTTTTGAAAAAGACAATATTTCAAACCAATTAATTTTGGCAACTAATTTATTTACCCGACTATTGTGATTAGAAAAATAACGCGAATAGAATTAACCTCGTTCTTCTCTAGTACATATAGTATGAAAATAAGGTGTGAAAATCGCAAAAAAATCGCTGCCAGGTCAACAACAGAGGGCTTAATGCAGCAATATTAAAAGTACTATGTTTCGTCAGAGGTTATCTACTTTTACAAAACGGTCTTGGTGATGACTGGTTAAATTGCTGGTGTGACACCAACAGAGGAATTTATTTCATTATAGCTCTTTATTCTATATGTAAACACATTACTATTTAGAAAGTCTGATTATAACTATAATCGTTGCGAGTTTGCTAGAATGTTCACATACAAAAGATATAAGACTGTAACTTGGTGTAAATAAACTCCTCATAGATACCGGGCTTAATTAAAATGTTTTAAGCCAGACGCGCGTTTCAACTAAAAAAGACTCACTATTGACGATCGAATAAAAAACTGTAGAAAAGCCAAATAAAGCACGATGTTGAGGAGCATTTAGGGTCCCAAATTCCGAAAGGTTTTGTCAAATACTGCTAAAGTTATCTATTCCCGGGGTAGAAAATCTGTAGTATTTCGAAAAATGCATTTTTTGGCAAACAGTTAATTTATAATTATGACCATATCAGTGACAATTCATGTCAACGCTGAAGTGCTGACAACTGAGCTGGTGATACTCTCGGGGAGGAAACCTCCACAGGGGCATCGACCTAATGGTTGTAAAACTACTCATTATAGATACCAGACTGAAATTGTGTACGCCAGACGGACGTTTTGGCTACACTAGACGCAATAGTGACGTTCGAATTGAAAAGTTCAAAAGGCCAAACAAAGCAAGAAGTTGCAGAGCTTTGAGGATCAAAATTCCCAAAGGTATGCCAAATACAACATGCATCTGGATGTAACTGCAACATGTCACATATTTACAAAAAAATTACGTATTTGGATAAGGTTTCCCACTCTGGACTGGCACATACAACATTTTCACTGTCTAGAATATAAGTTTTAACTTCTTTCGTCAATACACGATGCTGTTGAAGCAACAAGGAAAAACAAATTCTACTTTTATAATAGAAATATTTGAAATTCAACTTTTCATCAATCAACTAACTAAGTAATTATCTATTGATGCATTTATTTTTTAGGGGCTAGCTTAATATTTTTACATAAAGTACTTTTATTGTTTCTTTTAATGATAATCACGAAATTACAAACAAAATAACACAAAAAAAAGACAGAAGAGTTGTTAACAGGCTGGCAGTTAAACTACATATTGAAATATCAAAGTTTAGCTCCCTAAATTCCATTTAAAAGCATGAATCCCGCGTGTTATTTTCTGCAAACATTTTTAATTTGTTTTCTAAATGTGATTCTTCAACCTGATATTGACTACATACAATGTTTTTAACGTAGAACAGCTTCAAAACTATCTATTAGCAGATGGTGGTATTTTGGGCAACTGTATTGGTTGTTATGATTGGCTGTGTAATTAGCAAGAAATGTGATTGCACTCATTTAATGATGTACAAAACGTCATTAGCACTAAATGAAATATGTTATAAAGTTTTATGGTGATTAACAATTGAATCATTGACAAATATTTTGGTTTTCACTCATTTTTATCATTTTCACTGGAATTTCTGGAAAAGGGCGCTATCTTTTAAAAATACGTCATTAATATCTTAGATTGCGTTTGATAATTGACAAATAGTCTCTTTTCTAAATGTTTTTTCTATTTCCACACATAATTTTATTATCAAGAAGACAGAATATGCAAAAATGCTGACGTCTAGTAAAATGAGAAATTGTCCGTCCTTGACCTTTCATCGTGATTTAACAGAAATTGCACCGTACGAATACATGACGACCGGGCAAAAAAGAACTCACAGATGATATGCTTTCGAATGGTATATGATTTAGCCGTATGTTAGGTGGGTGCATTAAAAATGAAATTTTATGGTTAATGTCACTCGACTGTAAAGTATTCAAGTATTTATACACCGTTGCCTTTCATTTTTTTAGGTGTTCACGATGGAGAACAATCCATAAACAAGCTCCACAGGCAACACATTTATCAAGTTTGTATTCTATTTACAGATGGCACTATGTGAAAAATTAGACTGGTGCTCACCATTTCTTAAGATGTGGATATATATGAATATTGGGAAGTACAACCTAGAATAAGTGAGAGACGAATAAACGCAGTAATGTCCAGTTTGGTTCGATATTATGTCAAGATATTAAGATAATTATTTCAGGAAAACGTTTTTAATGATTATTTTACCATGTTCACATTCGATCCATTTTTATTAAAACAGTATAGAACATAAAATTGTCAACTCGACAAATCTAATATGGACAAATAAATTATACACCATGTAACAAAAAAAAAACCCAAACAAATAACAACAGAAAAATTCAAAAGGTTGGCAATAACTACAAAGGGGAAGTGATCTCAAATGAGTCTGAAGAGTATAACTGCACAAGTGGTACCATTCGTATGCTATGTCTAATGCGGTAATAAGTCCGAAAAGGGAAACAAGAGCGAATTCAAGCTATCCATGGTCACCTGTAGTACAAATATGTCACAGTGGTCAAAGAGATCAAGGTAGTGTTTGTAGACTTGCTAGGGACGATTTCAACCGTCAAATTAGGAAACAATGGTTCATTAGGTTTCTTGTAAGTTGTATCTCAAATGAATATTGTTTCATCTTTTTTTTTTGAGTTTCCGAATATTTTTTTTAAAACATCTTGTGACTGTTGTTTGCAAACAACTCTGGTAACTGTATGTAAGTAAAATCAACACATTAACCATACGTGAACTCAAAGTTGTACGATTGGTAAAAAAAAGTTCCAATAAAAAAATAAATAAAACAGAGCATCATATGATTGTATGCAATCTTTTATTTTCGAAAATAGCATAAAAAAGCCTAAGCAAAAGCAAAACATTATGAAACTAATAAAAGAACAAAGTATAATGTTCTATCAAAACAAAACATTGAACATCAATGAATAAATTGCATTAGATAAGTAAGGCAAACATATAAGCAAATGCTTTGTGATGCAATGAATACAAAGTACTGGTTAACATAGTTGAGGAAATAAACAGACATATCAGTTCAAAACAGATGAGGATCTAAATTGAACACCGTAGACTATTGTTTTCATCGTTTACAATATCTTATTTGTTTTTGATAAGTGAAAACATAACTAAATAGGTATTGCTATACTTTTATTACCCAACATCCTGTCATTATTATATTTTTGTATTGCACAAGGTTATGCTTTTCCCGGACTGTTCATGAAGTCTTGTCACTAAATTTGGATGTGTACTGATTGATAATGAACATGATTTATCTATGAGTTGTTATTTCTTTTGCATGGTTTTACATCTGCTCATGTATGGGCCATTTGAACTAACTATAAGGTATGTTTTTGCTAATTGTTGAAGGCAGTAGGATTACCTATAACTGTTTAAATCGCTACTTGAGGACTCGTTGGATAGTTGTCCCATTACGAGTCATACCACATCTCCTTAATTGATTTACACAAAAATGTATATACATAAAATCAGAATGAAAATGGGGAATGTGTCAAAGAGACAACCCGACCAAAGAGGGGAAAACAGCCGAAGGCCACCAATGGGTCTTCAATATACATGTCTTGTTGAACTTATATATCATTGTATAATGCCATTAGTAAACCAATTTTGATCTGAAACGGTATTTGATCTACACAGATCATAATTAACTGACCATAAATAAATAGATAGTGTTCATTCTTACAGTAAATTTTTAGTCTCATTCAATGCGGTAAATTCAATACTGTTTAAACTATTCGTTGTAATTTATCTGTTCACATCAACATCATACGGAATGTTCTGAAAAGTAACTGTTATCCGCAAGCAAATTGTCTGAACAGTACTGAGTTTCCTGCTGTAGATGCGTCTGGATACTGATTTAAAGACTGAATATGACTGAATAGTTCATTGTTTAGAGTTTTCAAATGATGTTAAGGTTGAAATGACCGTTACAGACTAATATCCATTTACTAGTGATATGGGTACTACAGATACAGTTAAGTCTGCCTCATATATTGACTTATATCTATACAGTGACAATAAGGGTAAGTTAAGAACAAAACATTACGACAAAGGAGTTGACTTCATTTTCACCCACTTCTATGTAGGAACATCACATCAGCACCTGGATTTTGAGTATACAGATTCCAGTTTCTAGTTTCTGTTTACGGATTATTTGAATTTCTTGCCATGATTTAGATTTTGATGCGATGCATACTGTGATACACTTTGGATAAATGAAATACGGACATACACGCCGGATGCAATGGATACCGTGATACAATTGATACACTTTGGATAAACACATTACAGATATGAACGCCGCATGGAATTTACACAAAAAGTGACGTTCTCTTTCCCTGATTTTGAGTGTGAACTATGTTTTTTTTTCATTATGATAATACGGGTTTTTACAATACAAATAATAAAGTTCCGCTGAAGAAGACAAGTATGACAGGTCTAAAGCTGAAGTTCGTTTTAAAGAGACTTTATTATTTATATTTTTTTTTGTGGTTTAAAATTATGGGTCAGGTTTAGGAAACCAATCGCTCTCTGTCTTAAACAGAAATTGAAATGAATACAATCACATTGCCGCTAGTGAAAAATTTATCTAAACCGTTTATATTAACTGAATTTTTGTAAAAAAGAAATACTTTGAAAACTCCCAAAAAGTTTTTTGACAGTCAACATTACACATTTACAATGAGAGCAGCAATCGCAGACGAGATACATTGTTTTTAGGAAACATTTATGAATATTTTATGTATATGTTTTAAGGACAGATGTTATATTTTCTACATCTCCTCATTTGTGAAATACTCCGTTAATAAATTTAGAAGTGATTTCAAAACTAAGGTTCGAACTCCCCCATGCAAAGTTGACCATACGTAGAGAACTTATCTTTAAAAGGACCTTTTAGTCATATATCACTTCAGGTAAAGTATTTACTGTTTACATTTTATTATTTTAAAGTTTTGGGCTTTCCTGATGAAGGTTAATCTAGAAAAGCGCTTCGGATGCTCCAAATTTAAAATTCTACATTAATGTTCATGCATGATGTTTGTGTATAAGTTGGATTTTTTTTTATTTGCCGTGAATTCCAAGTTACTTTGTCATACAATCAAAATAATGATGTTTGCATATGAAAAAAAATATTGTTTAACGCTTGTCTGCTGAAAGAACAACATTTTTGGCGGACGAGAAGATACATTAGCAACAACTCAATCTAATGGCAAGATTTCATCTGCTTGTATAAGCAGCAAAAATTAACAAACAGAAACAAAACTCCAAAGTAAATTCCAAAAAGGGGAAGTCCATAAAAATTTACAAGAGCAAACGGTCGAATATACAAACAAACGGAATGATTGGAAAAAACTGTCAGATTCCTGACTTGTTACAGGCATTTTTTCGAAGAAAATGATAGACAATTTTTCTGTTGATATGATAGGGAATATGAATTACACACATGTCGACCATATATTTTTTGACGAGTATAGCTTTGTTTGATGACGTGTACTAATTATGAATAATGTAAGAATCAGAGTGAGTAGGACAATATAGAGGATCTATTAAAGTTTGATATATATATATATATATATAATACATTATAACACTGTATGTATATTATAATTGAAATAATAATTCAAAATTAGAAAGCAAAGCAAAGTCTAATACGTTGTGTTAATTCTACAGAAACCTCATGCTGGGCATGTGTTGTTTATGTTACTTTGACATTTTGTGTAAATAATTCACCCCACCTCCTTGTACGCGTTTAAGTGCCAGCATCAAACTATGGAATGTCTTTAATTTTGACGTTGCCTTCCATTTCATTAATATATCTTCTATTAAACCAGGTAAATCTTTTGGAAATTTGAATAAACTGTTCTCAACTTCATTAAAGCTCACTCCTAGTTCTATTCCCAACTGAAGTGCACAATTGCCTACCTGGAATGATAACTCTTTCAGAACTCCGTCACTTGGTGTTTCTTGGAGATTGAAGTCTGCAATGTCTGACAAAATTGAATCCAATTAATTTATAGAACCGCATTAATACATTCACTCCATTTTTATTTAGCTATTTGTATTAGAAATGCTGCAAAATAATCAATGCACGACAAATTGGTGTCAGTAATCAATTGAGTTTCTTATTACACACAAACACAACATGACATGATGCTATGTTATCAAAAAGATGTAAACACTTCCAATTTTATTTCATTAATTACGTGTTTCGATAAATAATATATTTTCATTAATGAAAACGAGATTATAAATCTGAACTGATATCATGATTTGTTATGAAATATCATGCACTGTCGGCATATTTAATTGCTACTTAGAAAGTGAGTTGTTTGTCTCTTACAATGGCATGATGAGTTAATCTAAAGAAATGACGATGATCAAGTAGACTGCAAAAAATGTACTTTCAATCTATCAATCATTGTGTCCTCATTTTGAATGTGTTCCTTGACGTATAAGTAAGCATAATATGTTTTAAACATAGGAACGCTGAGACAAATAATTATAATACACATGTATAACACGTCTTATCTTTTCACTTAACATAAATAAGAAAAATGCACAACAGTTACTGATATATTTGCGAATAAAAAAAACCTATGATTTTGTCCAGAACAAATAACTGTTATAATTTTGTTTTTCTAAAAAGTTCTCACCTAGTAACTTAGTTTCTTCTCTGAAAACCTGACAAAATACAAAATATATATAAAAATAGATATAATACTAACGATAAACACTATGCAGCTGAGTGATAAGTATCATTTCAATCATTATGAATAAAGGTAAATCAATTTGCTAAATCTTTCGCCGTATATTAACACTCATAAAAAACTTCAAGCTTATAAAAAGACTCTATTGTAATCGGATGTATACTTGGCTGTCTTGAGTAAGGTTTGTCCATGTTGTAATGTATGTCAATTTAATCACTGTCCGTCTTCATACATCAAGCAACTTTAAACATTTGAATAAGACAATGCAATGAATTACTTATTCGTTGGTGAATTGCAGGGCGGTTCGATCCATCTCATTTAAAAAAAAACCCAAAGTTAATGTTGACCTTAAAAAAGCTTCAGCTGACAAAGTTATCTATACTATTTTGATGGTTCACGGCATTTTCGACTAACATTCAATGTTGACATTTTTAATAAATGTGTCAATGATTTCCCAGCAGTGACGTCATCAATATACAATGTTTAAATTTCTTTGGAACTACATTTATGGCATATGAGCAGGTGCTTCGACATAGTTAACGTGCCATCAGTATTAAAACGATTGAAAATATGAAATATTTTTGAAATGAAATCAACACACATATCCTGTACCTGACAAATAACATGGTTATCCAAATTCACTTTAGCCAAGGCGTTTGCCAGATCTTCCAAGGAAGGTTCTTCAAGGTCCGATAACTTATAATCCTTCCATTTCACTAGTGCCATCGACATTATCCCTTCACGACTGTGACCATGATACATATCTAAAGTGTTCTCCCATTGCCTTGTTTTCATTCCCAAATGTAAATAAAATTCTTGAAATGACTTTATTCCAATCTGACTTCCCAGTCTTACTAGATGCTTATCACTTGGTTCTGTTCTCAATTCATTGTAGCTGAGACCTGCAAAATGTAACATGTGTTGTAGCCAGTGGTTAGAAGGAAACATATTAATTCAACACCCTGAACTTACTCAAGCGGTTAAAGGAATACAAACACAAGTTTGAAGTAATTATAAACTTTACAAGCAGTGCAAAGCAACATTTCTAGTTGTCAAAGCGTTTGTATCATTTTATTTTAAAATTGAAAGTATGAAATCAGAATGCAGAAATGCGATTAAAGGCAATTTCAAATGATTAGAACTTTCTTCAAATAACATCTTAATTGTTATGTTCAATATTAATGTAACTTGAGAATAATAATCTAGTTAAACAAATTGTATTGAGTGTTTTAAGTTAACAGATTCTTTTACCTTTATCCTGCATTCGCAATTATTTTGTTTGTTTTAATTCCATTTAGTTCAGATATGTATAACCGGATGTAAATGTGTTTTCTATACTTACCTTTACATCCAAGTGCACACGTCTTTTGGGACTGAAAAATAAATAAGACAAGTTGTATTAGATTAACTAGCATGTGCAAAATGTATTGATTAATATTACAGAAAAGATGTGAAATGACATGTATATAACAAAATCGAGGTAGAGGTTTAGTGAAGGGTGTACAGCAGATTAAGTTATTTTCTAATTGATACAATGCTAATTCAGAGGGCTCAACAGATAGATCTTCTAGTAACAAAACAAACTTTAGAGTCTGAAAACATTATGATAAACTTTCATCTCCGTTTTATTTTGGATTGAATCTATTTGACGTGAATATGAATACTTGCCTAATTCGAAAGGTTAAAAACAGTTAATTTCATTACATTAGACGTATTTGGTATACTTATAAACATGAAGCGAATGACTTACAATGATGTGTTTAATGTAACTCATCATACAGTATGGTACCATTAGACTTGTATTGCCTTACCTTATCAAAGATCCAGTACAGTAAATATTTTGTGTTATGCTTTTTTTCCTTGTCACATGTCCAATAATTGGCTTCATTAACCTCTTCTGCAGATTTGAAGCATACACCAGTGCCGCATGGAACACCTAGCGCCAAGGTGTACAGTTCTAATACTTTTGTTGGTTTGATTTTCTTACCAAAACTGTTAAAATAGAAGAGAAGGGAAGACTCGATGTTCTTGGTCAAACATTCTTGTATGCTTGCAGCAACATCTGGTGAGATAGAGAGTAATGATTTCTGGTTTGTCAAGTATACCGTAACTCGATTGTCTTCTAACCAAATACTGAGTTCATCATCCTCACTCACATTCATCACTGCGGCCTTGTGGTATAGACACGGTTTTCCATTTTCTTCTTTCAATGGCCAGGTGATTATTGCTGCCCCAATAACTTTGTAAGCAAGAGCACTTGGAATGGAGTTTTTGGCTAATGCATATTCCAGACAAATTGTTCTTTCTCCATGATGTTGCAGGTTCTTAAAGTCTGGTCTGGGGGTCTTGATCATGCATGGTACAAGGTACACATCAGTAGACGAATTTTCTAACGCCTTAGGGACTATCAGAATATCCAAATGGACTAGAAGCTGTATGACAAATTCTTTAATGAAATCATCTTGCATGTATTGAGGAAAATGATCTTGTTGCCAAAGCTTAAAAAGATCTGTTCGATAAATTTTACCTGTCTGTGTCAATGTTTGCAATATAGTTTTAAGATTTTGGTCTGCTGGAAAGAACTTCTCATCCGTCACAAATGACCTCAAAATGTTAACCAATGCAGGAGGGTGAATGATGATGCAATTTTCTAAGCCAGGAAGATTGTAATACATCAGTTTACCAAGGGATTGTTGGACTAAAAGGAAGTCGTTCAGCTGATCTTCTCTTAAGGCCAAGTCGTCATTCAGCTTATTAACATTTCGTAGATCTTCCTTGGTAATGATGTTTACATTTTTCATTCTCATGTTGGAGATTTGCAACTCCAAAGGTACCCATTGCATAGGTCGTCGCTGGCCCCAGGACGATTGCTGCATTGCAAACAGGACAACTTGATCTGTCATGTGTTGTATTTCGGGGTCGTTTTTATCAATTCCATTGATAAAATACACAGTATCTAGGTGTATGTGATGTATTTTCTCGTGATTGCAGAACATCTGTGTAATAACCCGGATGAAATCTTCTTTCATCTTTGCAACGTCAGCCTGAAAGGGAAATGAAAAAAATATCGAATAGCAAACGTTGTGACCAGTGCACCACAGTACCTACTGGCTTTAGTGAGGCTGTTTGAACAACAGGGATCGTTATGTGTTTGAAGCAATGTAATGGAATTAAGAGTAATTACTGTTGTTCTCTTTCCGAAAGTTTTAATACAGGATGATGAATGAAATAATATGACAATTTCACAGTTTGAACGCTATAAAATAAATGCACGTTAGAACTAAATGTGTTTTAAAAAAATGTATTCTGTAAATACAGTAGATTAAAACATTGTCTATTAATAACTAAGTATAAATGAGAAGTAATGGTCACTATAGGAAAGTCAGTTAATATACAAACCAGACGACTATTCATTTATATTAAAATATTCGACCATACAAACATGTATCTCGAGAGTTATAACAGTCAACCTACTTATTATGTCTAACATTTAAATAGACCTTTATCATCTACATTAAACGTATGTATGAACTTGATTTTCTTGTAATCCTTTAGTTTAATCAAAATTCTTGTTTCAATTTTTTTATTGTTGCCATACATTACTTAAGGTCAAGCTGATGCAATGTGAGCGAGCACCGCTAATGTAGATCTATTTCCAGTATATATAGAGCTAAAGCCAGTACACATAAACCTGTAGCCAGTATCTTTAAACCTACAGCCAGTATCTGCAGCTTATAGTTTGATACTTGATAGATATATGTGAACGATTTAGATACCAATATTACAGAGTGTTCACGCGTGGAACAATCTTTAGATTGTTATTTTACCTTACACTGATCCCTGTGTGTTGCTGCAAACAGAATCATTGGCATAATGTCTTCAGTCTCTTCAGTGTAGGTCAAAACGGAATCAACCCAGTGTTTTAGTATTGCTGAAATGAAATGTGAAATTATTTACCAACCTCGAATGACTTCAAGTCACAATATTGCCGCAGTGAAAATGCGTAGATAAAGTAATAAATGAATGAATAGATAGATACTTGAATAAAAACTAAGTAAATTTATGAAATTAATCACTAATGAATATATGAATAAATCAACATATCGCATTTCGACCGAACGGAAACATGCATTTGAATGAATCAGCATTTACTGTGAAGAAAGGTATATGACAAGTATACTACACACTGAAGACTATTTTCCTTGCTCGCTTTTCTGGTCACGACAACTCATTTGTGAAAAATCTCATCCAGATTCAGTTAACATTGTTCGGGTGATTCAAGTTTTTGGATATATGTCAGCTTTATATTCTTTTAAGTGTATAATATTGGAGAACGTTTCAAGAGACTAATGAAAATGCGCATTAACACCAAGATTAAGATATTCATTATATCAATCTTCAGATGTGTAATTATATTAAGTATTTGCTACTAATAGGGTTTTACTAACATGCAGCTGTAACCCCCTCCGGATATTCGTCCAGCTGTTTATGTAAACCAAATCTACCATCAAACATCAATAAAAATGATCCCCTATGTTGTATGAAAAGTTGATGAGTCATATCATATGATTTCTGCCCACCAAAATCGATAAGGTCAGACGGTGCTATTTTAATTCTGTATTGCCCATTTCTCACTTCTTCTAAAATATCTGATTGAAGTTGCAGCTTCTGGCAATCCAAAGTTTGAATCTCGGTAACTGCTGATGGCAAACCTTTGCTAGACATGTGTGAAGAATGATGCTCCAGGACAGATTTAGTCATGGAAACATACGTCTTAGTCGCACAATGGTCTGTCGAATATTTAGTTGTCTTGTTGTAGTCTTGTGTATATTTGGTTGGTGATTCAGATGTTAATTCTGTATTTTCTTCTGTATAGACCCTTCTCACAGTGCTTGTTGTTTCTTGTCTGGTAATCTGATCGTATGTCTTACTGACATTAGGCTTACCTCGAAGTATTTTTGCCAAAACCTCATGTCCCCGTTCACCTAAAACAGTTGTTAAAATTTTAATGAATCGAAAAGTCAAAGACCTAATTTCAAATCGTACAACATGAACACAGTTTTTATGTTTTTAACTGGTAAGTTCATCGACCAACAATCCACATTTTAGAAAATGTGAAAGCAATCTGAACTGTAAAGGCCTTATTATAGCATTCAATTTGAAGTCTTTTATATCTATCATCCTCTAACATAAACGTGTCTGTCGTTGGCTGCTGTCAGTCATATTTGTTGTTTTACGCATGTGCAAAGACACTTCAGATATCTATAACATTGCTAGTTTCGTTGTTTGTCGATAACTTGTCTGTCGAATATTAAGTGGTCTCGTTGTCGTCTTGTTTATATTTGGTTGGTGATTCAGATGTTAATTCTGTTTCAGAACACATTCTAAATACTACCATATTAAAATCTGTCGAGACTTATTATCAAAATAAATTAATTTCCTCAGAATAAACTAGTTCCTGTTTATTGTTGCAGAATAAGGAAGATGCAACAGTGATATATAAATGTTCTAAACTAGGCCCTTGGTTTTCTTTTTTGAAATATATAAAAAATTGTCATTCTTTTGACTTAATATAGGATACTGGTTTGTATCATTTTTGATGTCCGTACAGCGATCTGTAAATATTCACTTAAACTAACACTTACGTGTTAATTTATTAGTGTAAGTGTCATTCTAAATCATGTCACATTCCCTATTTTTGTTTAAATTGGTACGTGAAATACAGATTAATCGAAAGGATATATTTAAATATATGTTTTCGCTCCTTGACGCTGAAAGAAGATCAGAATTGAAGGTCACACTAGATGATGATCAATAGAGTCATTTTGTCGAGTTCACATCTCAAGAAAACAGAATGGCTAACTGAACATATACTGATTATATTATTTTCTCTTTTGTGATATTTTGAAAGAGTCGGAATTTGCATGACAGAGGATGTATACATACCGTGGACGCTTTCCTTATTTGTCTCTTTTGGCATGAATATTTTTACAAAAAAAGAATCAACAAATGAACTTCAATATACTTAAGTCAGACATACCCTCTAGAAGCGGAACCATTTTCTTCCTTTCAATATCAATACCATTCCTGCCAAAATAAATGACAAGTCCGTCTGTAGAATTCCACTTCAGAGGAATTTCTTCGCCAATAAGTACGCTTGCTAGAGTACTTTTTCCAGCTCTACAGGGACCACCTAACAATAAAATAAACCATTAGTAATGATTATAACAATGAAAAGTAAAACAATAAAAATACCGAACTCCCAGGACAATTCAAAAACGGAAAGTCCCTTAACAATTGGCAAAATCAAAAGCTCAAACACATCAAACGAATGAAAAACAACTGTCATATTCCTGACTTGGTACAGGCATTTTCTTATGTAGAAAATGATGGATTAAACCTGGCTTTAAAGCTAGCTAAACCTCTCACTTGCATGACAGTCGCATACAATTCCATTACATTGACAACAATGTGTGAAGAAAACAAACAGACATATTAGGTAAAAATGTCAAAAATAGGGGTACAGCAGTCAACATTGTGTTATAATCTCAATCACAATAAAAACAAACAAATAAGTCAACAAAGAAAAACATATAGACAAAGCACATATGCAACATTGAAACACAAGAATACAAAAAATGACAACAGCACAACAACACAATGGCGGTATTTAAAAGTACCGAGCCACGTCTAAAGGATATTACCAAAAAATGGACCAAACAGTAAACGTTAATAATTTACAAAGACAAATTAAAGGACACTATAACACGTAATCAAGATGATAAACAACGTCAGTACCTAGAATATAAACATCAAGACCATCATGTATTATTTGTGAAGTTGATAAGGAATATATATCAACATGGTCTTAGTATCTTCCGATGAACTTTTTTTTAGAAAAAGGACGAGACTTTCTTTGAAATAACCCTGGTTCATCAACTTTTTGCTCAGACACTGGTGACGTTTTACAAAGTCTGAGTAGCAGCTGTAAGCTCTTGAATACCGAATGAGTTGGGAAATGTATATCCCATATGCAAGTGAAGTTTGTTTATTTAAGGTGGGGGAAATTGATAATTTCAAAATTAAAATCGTCTCGTTTGTCATAGTATCTGGTACTGAGATGACCGCTGATGTCAAATTCGAGGTATATGTCTAAAAAAGAGGAGGAGGAAGCTGTGTCTGTTGTTTCTTTAATTTCTAGTTCTGTAGGATATATTAATGGAACCCAATCAGAAAAGTTTGGATTGTTTATGGAAAAAACATCATCAATTATCTGAATGTGAATATATTGTAAGAAAGGAATGCATTAGGCCTAGAATTATGTTAGTAGAAAGTAAAATGACAAAAATGCGGAACTCCAATGCAAATTTTAATCGAAAAGTCCTTTATCAAAAGGCAAAATCAAAATCTCAAACACATCGAACGAATGGAAAACATCTGTTATATTCTTGACTTGGTACATGCATTTCCTGATGTAGAACACTATGGATTTAACCTGGTTCATAGCTAGTAGGTTCTCTTTACCCAATACACATACTGAATTTACATGATCAGTATTTATATAGATTTTTTGTTTATTATACCTACTATTCTATTTCGAGTAAACTCCAGTTTAATAAGGGTCCAGAATAATTCGCTTGAACTTTTAGATGTGATTTTTTAACTGGTTCGGTTAACTATTTATAAACAGTGCAATTTATCTTGTAAAAATATGCAACCTTACACCAAATTGAAGCAAATATTTGTAAATTCCAAAATTTACTTTGTTAGGTTATAATAACTGAGATCATTAGGTCAAAACACAGTTAAGGCTATGACTTTTTCACTTTGAATTTCAATGATAACTACCTTTGGATGGCTATATCGAATATTTTTATTGTTTACTTTGAATACACTTTTATCAAATAAAGAGCGCATTATGATCTATGAATATTATTTTATAGGTACTGTTATTGATTTTGTTACTAATGAAATGAAACGTAACTAAATTTGCATTCGTAAACAGCTATTAACAATTACTGGCCTACATCCTGTC